ATCTCCCTGGGGACAGCAGGTTCTATATAGTGCTGGATTTAAAAGATGTTTTTTACTGCATCCCATTGGATCCCAAGTCCCAGGAGATATTTGCCTTTGAATCAGAGGACCCAGACTCATCAGAAGCAGTAGTACTGCTAGACTATCTTATCCCAAGGGTTCCCAAACTCCCCTACTATCTTTGGGGAAATCCTGGGCTGAGATTTAAAGGAATTAGAATTAAAACAGAGTACTGTGTGACAGTATGTGGATGACATCCCAATAGCCAGCCCTTCTAAGGAAATCTCTAATGAAAACACTGTAACTATGTTAAATATCCTAGCCAGTAAGGGATATAAAGTGTCTAAAGGGAAAGCATAAATATCTAAAGAAAGCATAAAGTATTTGGGGTTTATCATTTCAAGGGGATAACACAGCCTTCCTCAAGAGAGAAAAATAGTAATATGTCAACTTGCTCCAACAAAAACTCATAGGCAGCTATGGGGATTCTTGGGGATGGCTGGCTTTTGCTGCATTTGGATCCCTAATTTTGGATTGATTGCTAAGCCTCCCTATGATAAACTACAGGGGCCAGAAACGAACCCCTCTGAAAGGGATAAGCTATGTGACCAAGTTTTCAATAAGCTTAAAAACTTGCTAATGGAAGTACCTGCACTGGCCTTACCAGACCTGAGCAAAACATTTGACCTATATGTTCATGAAAGACAGGAAATAGTTATAGGGGTGCTAACTCAAATGTTGGGACCCTGAAAAACAGTGATAGCCTAGGGGCTGACTCAGTGGTGCAGCGGTTAAGTTCGTGCGCTCTGCTTGAGCAGCCTGGGGTGCTCTAGTTCTGATCCCAGGTGCAGACCTATGCACCACTTATCAACCCATGCTGTGGCAGGTGTCCCACATATAAAGTAGAGGAAGATGGGCACAGACGTTAGCTCAGGGCCAATCTTCCTCAAAAAAAACCCAACCAGTGGTAGCCTATTTCTCAAAGCAGCTAGACACTGTGGGAAAAGGATGGCCCCCATGCTTGAGAGTTGTAGCTGCCACCTGCCTCTTAATCAAGGAAGCAGAAAAACTGACTATGGGCCAACCCATGACAGTGTGGACCCCCCACCAAGTCTCTAGCCTACTAGAGTCTAAAGGACATCTATGGCTATGCCAGAATAGGATACTACGATATCAAGTTATGCTGCTAGATTCCCTTCAGATTTCTTTAAAACTCTGTCATACTGTAAACCCAGCTACCCTGCTCCCTGATTCCAGTGGGCCTATTACCCATGTCTGCCCAGAAGTGACTGATCAGGTTTACTCTAGCTGCAAAGATCTCCAGAGTGAACAACTACAATGCAGAGGAAGTATGGTTTGTAGATGGGAGCAGCGTTATGAATAATGGACAAGGAAGAGCAGGTTATGCAGTAGTGTCCCTGCATGCAACCACAGAAGCCAAGGGGCTAACACCAGGCACCTCAGCTCAAAAAGAAGAAATAATTACATTAACTAGAGCTTTGGAATTGGGAAAAGAAAAAATAATATACACAGACTCTAAGTATGCTTTCTCTGTAATTCATGCTCACAAAGCCATTTAGAGATTTTATTTTTTTTTTCCTTTTTTCTCCCCAAAACCCCCCACTACATAGTTGTGTATTTTCAGTTGTGGGTCCTTCTAGTTGTGGCATGTGGGATGCCACCTCAGCATGGCTTGATGAGTGGTGCCATGTCTGCGCCCAGGATTTGAACCAGCAAAACCCTGGGCTGCTAAAGCAGAGCGCATGAACTTAACCACTCGGCCACGGGGCTGGCCCCTCATGAAGCCATTAAGAAAGAAAGAGGACTTCTTAACAGCAGCAGTAAAGAAACTAAACATGGGCCAGAGATCCTTAAACTACTGGAAGTGGCACAGGGCCCCAAGGAAGAAGCTGTGGTCCATTATAAAGGCCATCAAAGGGGAGAATTAGAGACCAATAAAGGAAAGGACTTGGCAGATAAAGCTACAAAAAGGGCTGCTAAATCAAGAGAGCTTCTCCCAATTACCATTAATTCCCACTCTAGCCTTGTATGAATTTACACCAGTGTATTCCCCTGATGAAGGGAAGCCACCACACAGGGTGACCAGTGGTCCCCACTAGTCAAGGGCTGGATGATAACCAAGGAGGGAAGATTTGGGTCCCCAAACAAAAGCTTGGGAGCTCCTTAAGAATGCTCATGATTCTACACATTATGGAAAAGAGACTTTATGCCTATGACAAAGGTCATAAGGACCATAGGTATGAAAGAATTTACTGAAAAAATAATTGAACAATTTGTTTATTGCCAGGGGACAATGTACAAACAAGACCTCCTGTACTTCCCCTGGCCAGAGCAACTCAAATTCAGGGAACTTTACCAGGGGAAGATTGGCAAGTTGATTTTATTGTTATGCCCATGGCCCTCGGGGAATACAGATACTTCTTGGTGTTTATGGGATACATTTACTGGATGGATTGAAGACTTTCCTTGTGGGTCAGAAAGGGTGAACGAGGTAACAAAGGAGTTGTTAAAAAAGATAATTCCCCGTTTTGGGTTGCCTAGATCAATTCAGAGTGACAATGGGCCACTCTTTACGTCAAAGACAACCTCTAAAGTCACGAGAGTTTTGAAAGTTAAATGGAGGTTACATGCTACCTGGAAACCACAATCATCTAGAAAAAGTGAGCGGGCCAATCAAACTCTAAAGAAAACTTTGGCTAAACTGTGCTAAGAGACACAAGAAAATTGGCTAAAATTAGTGCCAATAATAGCCCTCACTTGGATAAGGGCTGCTCCAAAAGGCGACCTGAAGCTTAGCTCCTTTGAAATGACCTACGGGAGGCCATTCCCTAAAGACTCAGATTCACTTGCAAACCCAGACCCAGAAGTCTCCATGGCAACCAAACACATAATCAATCTGAAGGAGGTGGTAGACACACTTGATAAATATCGAAACTTCTGTCTTCCCTTGCCTACAGAGGTCAAGCTCCACCCATATGAACCTGGAGATTGGGTCTATCTTAAAACTCGGAAAAGTGGTTCTCCCCAAGATTAGCTAAATCCTATTCAAGTAGGGCCTCGCTTGGTGTTAGTGACCACTCATTCTTCCCTAAAATTAGGAGTCACCCCTTGGGTCCACCACATACTGGTAAAAAAGGCACCCATGGGGGCTGGCCCCGTGGCCGAGTGGTTAAGTTCACGCGCTCTGCTGCAGGCAGCCCAGTGTTTTGTTGGTTCGAATCCTGGGTGCCGACATGGCACTGCTCATCAAACCACGCTGAGGCAGCGTCCCACATGCCACAACTAGAAGGACCCACAACGAAGAGTATACAACTATGTACTGGGGGGCTTTGGGGAGAAAAAGGAAAAAAATAAAATCTTAAAAAAAAAACAAGGCACCCATGCCTGAACATCAAAAGAGATCATCACAGACGATTGATGACGCTGAGTTTTCCTGTGAACCACTCTCTGATTTGAAACTCTGGTTTGGTGACACCATAAAAATAAGTAAATCCCAATGACCTGTCAACCTACTCCCGTAAAAATACTGGGGGTTGCATTCATTATAGCCTTATTAATAGTTTTAACCCTTCCATTCACCTGCGCCCTGCCTGGGACACCTGAGTACTTTGGTTGTTCTCATATGACTCACTCCTACTCCCGGTAGGCACATTAAAAGTTAGAATGGCTGGATTACTGTGCAGTGTTATAGATAGTTATATAGTCATTGGTGCTTTGTGTTCTTTGGTCGCATCATGGCAGACCGGGGAGGAATCTGTGCCTTTGCTAATACGTCTTGCTGTTTCTATGTTAACACTAGTGGTGAAGCCGGGTACCTGAGGGTTACTGTAGATATTCAATAAGTACATGATTGCGTTTTGACCTTGTTATAAATCTTCTCAATTTGCTGTTTTCTTGTTTAGCTTGAGGGGTGACTTGGGTCTCCAGGATTTGTGAGTTTTTTTACAGAAAAAAGAGAATGCCTCCAGGGAGGTTGCAATCACCAAATGGCCAGCCTCCAGCAACTATTGCAGAATGCCCAGGGGCTTATCAGGAGTGACCCCTTTGTTCTCTGAACCTCCTCCTGCCAAGCCCCTTAGCTCTATAAACACGCCCTGCTTTTCACTCTGGGGAAGGTGTGAACCCATGCTCCCGCCTTCCTGTCTTGGCCAACTCGAATGGGACCGTTCTCTACCTCCAAGCACCAGTGTCTCAGTGTTTGGCTCGCTGCACATCAGGCACACAGATTTGACATTAAGAAGTTTGGTGTCAGTGGCACCATAAAAGAAAGTGCAACCAGGTTACTGGAAGAGGCCACTTGGCCAATAGAAAAGAGCCAGCCAGACCTCACAGAAAAATCTGGAATAGAATCAAACAAGCCCTTCCCAGCTTAACTTGGTTCCTCGCACACTTGAGCCTCTTAATGGCTATCCTTCTTCTCGTGCTCTTTGGACCCTACATATTTCATTGTCTGGTACAGTTAGTGACTAAATGCATTAAAGCTATAAAGTTACAGAAGGTTGTGACACAAGGATATGAGCCAATATCTGGTGACCCACAAACCTACCTAAAGTTAGCTGGGGAAAACTGTGCTCCTCCACCAGTCCCCATGACAGCGCCCATGCTCAGCAGGAAGCAGTTACAGAAGATGTACCTTCACCCGTGACCCTCAAGAATGAGGAGCAGGATAAAACTACAGGAGGGATTTTTGTCACCAACTAACCTGCCTGAGTAACTCATAAGAGGTTTTGAAAGCATTTAACTGTTTCTCAAAGTTGTTTTTCAGTTATGTTAAGAGATGAAATCACCAACTGCCCTGAGCCGGTCCAAACCCCACGGCAAGACTGATGCCTGAGCAGACAGGCTAAGTGTCCAAAACTTACCTTCGCTTCACTTGAATGTTAAGATCTCCGCCCTAGGAGGAGCTTAAGCCTTATTAGCACAACATGCAATGTACATGAGTGTGTTTTTAAACCACGCCTGTGCGAGTTTATACCCACCTCTACATGGAGTATGAAACTTCCCTTTTGAATATTCATTCCCCATCCGGAATAAAAAGCACCTGTCTTCTTTTGCTCGGGGATCCATGGCTTTGGAAGTGATTCTCTGTGGTCTCATTTCCTGCAAAAAAAAAAAATTGTACTTTGTGTGACAACTACTTCTGGTGAAGGCTTTGATTTCAACTCACCAAGAAGCAAACTCACTTTGGTTTGGTAACAATCCCACGCTAGGTTGATTACAGTGGCTCTTATAATGTCTTGAAATCAGGTAGTATAAGTCCCTCAACTTTTTTTTTTGATCAAGTTTTGGCTACTCTCCGTCTTCTGCACTTGCACATAAATTTTAGAATCAGCTTGGTAATTTCCACAGAAAGAATCTGCTTTGATTTTTATTGATCTTGCTTTAAATCCACAAATCAATTCAGAGGTAAATGACATCTTAAAAATATTGAATCTTCTGATCCATGAACATGATATATGTCTGTATTTAGATCTTCAATTTCTCTCACAAGGTTTTGTACTTTTCAGTTCATATGTCTTTCACATATTTGGTCAAATTTATCCCTAAGTATTTCTTTCTCTCTTTCTTTCTTTCTTTTTTGCTGCTAAATAGTGTTTTTAAGATTTCCATGTTCAATTGTTCATTGCTAGAATAAAGAAATATAACTGATTTTTGTACATTGACTCTGTATCCTGCAACTTTGCTAAACTCATTTACTTGTTCTAGTAGGTTTTTTTTTTTTTTTTGTAGTATTCCATATTATTTTTGTCTGCAACTACAGTGGTATTTCTTCCTTTCCAATCTGGAAGCCTTTTATTTCTTTGTCTTGTTTTATTGCACTGACTAGAATCTCCAAAACTATACTATTTGATCGAAGGCAAGTTTTGCAGAGAAATATTCCTGATGCCCAGGCCTAGATTAGGCTCAACTATTGTACCGTGTTGAACTTAGATTTTTTTTAATTTACTAAATCATTATTTATACTTCATTATTAGGCTCTCAGTTTTTCCAGCATTCAAATATTCATTAAATGTTCAAATATTGAACAACTATTGCATGCCAGACTCTGTGCTGGTTGTCAGGGAGACAATCCTCAGCACACTCTCCATATGGTAAAAAAAACAAAAGGAGTACACAGACAGACATGGACTTTGCCCTGATCAAGTCTTAGCATCTCATGGAGGCAGTTTAGAACAAGAGTTAACAGCACAGGCTCCAGGTTCAGTCAGCTTGGGTTTGAATCTGGCTCTGCTCCTTAGTGGTTGGTCAACCTTAGAAAACTTAATTGCCTTTCCTAAATCTGTAAAATGAGGGTATTAGTAATATCTACCTCCTAGGATTGCTGTGAGGGTTACATGAATTAACACCTTAAAGTGCTTAGAACATGGCTTGCATAGTAAATGGTCAATAAATACTATTAGAGGGCAGGAGTCGTTCTGCACAGGGTACATCTACAAACGGACTGAGGAAGGATGGGTGTGGAAACATTAACAAGCGTAAGAAGCAGTTTACTTTAGCTGCTAAGCATAGAGTGTCAGCCATACCTCGTTTAAACCCTTGCTCTGCTGCTTTCTGGCTGTACAACTTTGAGCGAACTACTTAAACAAGAGCAAACTCAAGTGCCTTGCATCTTATCTGGCACACAACAGATGCTTAATGGATAAGCACTTATTGACTATGGACGTTCTGCAAAGCCATCATATCGCCAACATGTGTTCATAATAAGAGCTGCCATTTATTAGGGCTTACCATTTCGGACCCTGTGCTAGTTACTTTCCATATATTCTCTTTCATGCTTCTTAACCTAGCTTGGTGACCATAATCGGCCCCACTTCATGGTAAAGAAACGAGATGATCTCTACGTAGCTACGACCAGTGTGAGGTTGGAGGCCTAAGTGGCGGCTTGGAATCCAGCCCTTGACCAAACCGGGGCTCGCACTGGGTCCTTTGTCACCAGCTGGGCCCTGGACAGCCCGCTCGGGAGATGGCGCCAGGAGCCGGCAGTCGGCCAGGCTGTACCACCCCAGGCAGCCCCTGCCTCCAGGAGCTGCCAGGCGAGGCCTCTCCCGCCGCCACTTGGGCACGGCCCCCTCCTTCGCTCTCACGGGCCTGGGGGCTCCGGCCTCGAAGGTCTCCCGAGAAGCGGAGCCAGCGAGTCGAAGCAGAGCTCTGGGGAGGAAGGGTGGCACCGTCTCCAGGCAACGCGCTGGGGGCAGGGCTTCTGCGTCAGCGACGCGCGACCGGGGCGCCGACCGAGCCGCCGCCGCCGCCTGCAGGTCTGAGCGGCGGGCTGGGGCGGCGCCGCGGCCGCCGGAAGCGCGATGCCTTGAACTTGGGTGAGCTGCGCAGGCTGTCCTTCCGCCGCTTGTCTTCCTAGTTGCTCCACGACCCTCGGGCTGGAGCAGAAACGCCGGCCAGGCCTGACTGCCCGCCGGCCTTCAGTGGGGAGACGGGCCGGGCCCCGCCGCGCTCTCTAGGCCTCGGCTGAGGGAGCGGGGCTGGCTTGGGAGGCGTTTCCGTGGTCGCACCGTCCCCAGCCCGGTTTCCAGCGGCCGGGGGTGGAGGTGGCTGGTCCTGTCTAGGGGGTGGTTCTGGGGGCCGAGGAGAGAGTTTTTCCTCCTCGAGCCCGGAACCGCTTTTGAATGTTGCCGCCGGCGCAGTCAGGGGCCGCGGGCGCAGCTGTTGGTTCCAGGGCAGGTGCGCTCGAGGAGGGGCCGCGGCGGCGAGGGGACGGCGAGCGCGAGGCCGGCCGGAGGGGGGCCCCGCTGCGCTTAGACACCCTGCGCGCCCCCGACCCCCCGGTTGGAAACCCTTTCATGGGGCCACAGCTCGGAAAAGGCCAAGTCGATCCACGTAGCCGGCCCTGCTTTTCTGAATTCGCTTGGGCTGCTCCCCTTCCCAGAGGCTTTGCCTTGTCGAACCAGCTGGCTCGAGACCCGGCTGCCACAGAACGTTTCCTTGCTAATCATTGTAGTAGTTATTCCTGGAAAGGAAACCTTCTGGGTTAGCTTTTCAAATGACTCCTCCTGTTATTTGTGTCGCGTTGCAAAATGTGGATTTACTATTATTAGTCAAGTTTATCCCCAGCCCTTTTGTTCAGTTGCAGCGTACATCCATATTCTGACCCCGTCCTATTTCACGGTGCCAAATGATTCTGTTCTTTCCTCTGGCGTGTTTATAAAGCTGCCGTAACACTTGCCATGGTTTATAATTGTTAGATCTTCTGCATAAAGTTACTCTTTTCCACTCCCCTCCGCCCATTCTTCTTGCTCTAAAATGAACTCCATCCATTCAAAATTTCATCTGGGGCGTGACGTGCCGCGAACCAACGATCTTAAATTAGTCACCTCTATATTGAAGTCACTTCTCTAAGAAGTGATGCTTTTTTAATTCAGAACTCAAAAATAGTATGGATTTTTCTCCTTTCCTTTGATGCTGACTGGCTGTCGTTTTTAAATATTTTCTTCCAGAATATGACTGTATGTTTCCAAAATGTGTTCTTTGTCATTTGATGTAAGTGAACTTTATATTTGATGTATGTAGCCGGGCCTTCTTAGATTACGTCTAAACACCCAACAGGCTTCCCCTTCTCCCAAAAAAGGCAGGGAAGGTCCAGAGAGAATTCTGACAAGTCTAGTTATGAAATGTATTTAGTAAACACACTGGTGCTGTCAGAAATCCATATTCTTAACCTTAATTCTTATCCTTTTGTGGTTTTTCTTTCTATAAAATTTTTTTCTGATTAGGATCTTTCATCCCAGAACAGGCACCCCAGACTCTCTAGTGACTCTGACTGGTCTAGTTGTTTCACTGTGTATCTGTTATATCTCCTGTTCATTTCTTGTCTTGCAGAACAGCTGATAATCTGTTTACAGATCTAGAGGTTGAGTAAGCAATGAGTAATAAAATAAATTATCCTTAGGGACCTCGTTTTTAGTACTTAGTTTTTATCACTGATGTTAAAGCTGACAGTGACGATAATTGATGATTATTTCAATTATAAATGTGTTTATGTAAGTAAACAAGTTGATACAAAATTTCATGGAGAACAGGTTTCAGAGAGGTTTTCTAAATACTACAGTACTTGTGAGCTAGTCAACTTGTTCCCCTTTCAGGCTTTTCAACTTGCTTTAATCCTTTTATGAATGGATATGGTTTAAATTTTCACAGAAGTTTCTTTTTTTTTTTTTTTTTTGCTGATTACCCATGATGTAATTTTTATGTCTTTATAAAGACTATTTGAACTACAGCAATTCATTTGTTAGAAAAAGAAATAATCATGTGTATGTTACCACCCACTAGAGAATGTGGCATTTTTGGAATCCTTGATATGAGTTTCAAAATAACAATTGTTCTTTATTTAGAAAATCCTTCAAATGTTGCTTGAAAGCACATCATTATCCTTCTAGAAAGGACTGAATTATAGGTGGCACAATAGCATGAGAGCTGCTAGTTCTTTGAGAAATCTTGACCAGAGATTTATCTTTTGCTGAATTCTATGCCAGTGATTTGAAAATTGTGTTCCTATGCAATACTGCTATTCCATGATCTAGAGGGGAGTATGTTTCTAATATCAAATAGTGAATATTTCTCAATTTACTTAAACATTAATGATAAATTTTTACAATTTTGTATTTTTTATTTTAGGAATTTTTCTTAACTTCAGCTTCTCGCCAAGTTAGTACTAGTAGATGTCTGAACAAGTTAACGAGAGTCAAAAGAATACTAAGTGAATAATAAAACAATATTTACTGCATTACATAAACATTTATTGTATGCTTATGAATCTGCCAGAAAAGAGAACACAGCTGCTATGCTCAAAAAGCTTACAGAGGGGGATAGTCAAGTGACCTAACTGATGATATATGCTGTGATAGAAGAATGTGCAGAGTCACCAAAGAGGGACACTGAAAAAGCGGTGGCGAGTGACTAGAGCGTGGCCTAAACAGATTGTTTTTGTGAACACACACTCTTGGTTGTGGTTTTATATTGCATATAGATCAGAGTCATATTTTTATATTAAGGATTTAATATTTACCATTATTTTATGATATTCAAAATGAACTGTACATTCCAGGCTCTCGCCACTGAAGCAGGTTCAGAACCACTGTTCCAGGCTCTGTTAGTAGTCCCTAGATAGTCTTCCCGTTTAATCCAAGGAGTTAGTGATCAGGTTTCCCAGATACCAAGTGCAACTGTAGGATAACAAGTTAATATGCTGCCTCAAATTATAAACCTTATCATTCAGTTAGGGCACCAGAACAAAACAATGCAGAAACAAAAGGGACCATTTTCTAACTCAATAATAAGCAACAAGGCTTCTTTTTAAATAACTGTTTGGTAAGCACACTGGTTAAATTATCATTGCATATTTTACACTAAATATTAAGACCATGTATTTCAAAGGTTTAATTTTTTTCTTTGTTAAGTTATGGAGGTGTAATTTAAAGTTTTTGGTATGGTTGATTAACATCTTTTATTGCATTTTGGTTGGACTGGTACAAGAAAGCTAGAGGAGATGTAAGTTTCTCCTTGGGAGTAAAATATTTGGTTAGAGGTTACCTACTAACTCCTTACCCAAGCAAAAATTCTTCTCTAAAATACTCATTGGGTGAACTACTCTTTGTTTAAATACCTCCACACTTACAATGAAAGCAAGCTCACCACATACATTATAAGACAGCCCTTAACACTTCTGGATAATTATGGATGTTGGAAATTCTTATATTGACCTGAAATCTGCCTAATTTACACTTAGTGGCCATTCTGTTTTCTGTAACTACATAAAATAAATCTTACTTCCTCTTCCACATGAAAGCTCTTCAAATGTTTGAACAAATCTATCATATTTCTTCACATCGTTACTGAATGGTGATTATCTAGAATGAGTTGCTTTGTTTCCTTTTCTAGATCCTTAACATCTTGTGTGCTCTCCCAGATGTGTTCAGATGATGAATGCCCTTTCATCAAGTGCGACCCGCGTGGAGCTGGTTACAGCACTTCAATTGGGGTCCATTACAGAGTCAGCGGGATGGGGCTTTTGCTCTCGACGTCTGCTGCTAGCAAGAGTTTAAGATTATTTTAGCATCTTTCTTGTCCCTATTTACTGTTGACCCTCTTTGACTGAAACCCTCAGACCTTTGATATTTTAACTGCTTTTAAGCCCATCTTACCCTTGTGTTTTTGTGCAGTTGGCTTTTCAAAACATATCCAAGATTTAACTTTTAGTCATGTTTGATATAGCGTATTCTGTTTCAGAAGATCGGTACCTGTGTCAGTCTTGATTCTGATATTCAGTGGGCGTTATTCATTCATTTCCATGGTAGTCATCCGCAGATCGGGCAGCCTGCAGTCTTGTCTCAAAGTCATCAATAGAAATGGCAAACAGTCTATCTCGCTGCCAGTCTTTCTCCCTTCTGCTGCTCTGCTTTAGTCACTCTGCCCGGTTTTGTTAAATTAACTCAAAGGCAGCTTGCTCTCCTGTGTTAGGCACTTTCTGTTACCTCTGCCTGGAACGTCCTCCCGTCGCCATGCCTCTACCGCTCTTCTCTGGCTGACTCTGATCTCAAGTCAAATGTTTACCGCGGACTTCTTCCCTGACACGAGACGACGTCAAGTCCCCCTTTCATAGGCTTTCGTAGCAGCTTGTTTGGCTTAGTGCCTGTCATTTTGTAATTATATATTTATTGGTGTGATTGCTGCCTCTTCCCCACTGTCTCAGATGCTCCGTGGTGTCAAGAACCGTGTTTCTTTCACTCACTGTTGTATCCCCAGAACGCATCAGAGCACCAGGCACGTGGTACTTGTTGAGAGTAATTTATAAAGAGGCATGTAACACAGTGGCTCCCTAACACCAGTCTGTAACCATGGGCTTCTGATGCTGCTTTCACACGTTTGGATTAGAACAAGAAAAATAAGGACAATGCTGTACATGGATGTATGCAGTCTATGTCAGTGTGAAGTTAATGCCTTCTTGGGAAAAACTTTTATTCTCATAATATATCCTTCTTTTTGGGTTACAAATTGTTCCTTTTTAAATTTCTGTTAAGTTTTGGGATTTTTAAT